GCCATGCATCTCCAGAGATGTCACATGGCGCAGCTACCCAACATATCCCTCCTACCTGAATCGTCCTGTCGACATGGTTGTTCCATAGAAACGAGAAGGAGTCCATCTCCAGGACATGTCAAGATGTATACTATTACTTGATATGGTCAGGCTATTTCCGGAATAGTCCAACGGCCTGTCCATATCCATACCTGATCGGCCTGTCATTGGTCGGGAATCTTACCGAAGCGGGATAGCGCTCTTCCCTAAGAAAAGTCGCCGTTTGCACCTCCAACTGCCCGCACCAACACCACCAACTTGGAAGCGAAGGTCTTTTAGCGAAATGGACGTCGTCCATATCGCAGAGCTAAGCGCAGCGCCAGAAAGAGGATGTGGCAGGCCATCATGTGCCTCGCAGTACCGAGTACAGAGATCAACTTGGCGGCAACATGTCCAGTTATCCGGCACCATGTGGAGAAACGGCGTTTGGCCGTGAAGGTTTGACCGCAGGGCTGGTCTGTGGCTATCGAGCACTATCTGGCCTCGGTAGACGAGGAGGAGAAAATGCCCAACGTTTAGCCGCCGTGGCCGCCCATTCTAGAATTGTACGCTGCTCACCGCGAGTGTCGTCTGGGGTTCCTTGCCAACGCAGGCTTATCCAGACTAGGCATCCGCGTCAAGCATGCGGGGTTTCTCTAGTGATAAGGGCCCTGGAAATTTCATCTTTGGTTGTCCGTCCGGAGAATCTCTCTGATCAACTTCAACGTCGGCAATTACCGGTCCTTGAGGCGTTCATATACACAACCACACCACCAGTTCATCCAAGGCTTACAGGATTATCATGTCTCACTGTGGCTACTTCTCACGGGCGCGGTCGAAAGGGGACAAGCTGGGCTACTACCGGGCATCTGTCGCGTGCGGTGAGTACCGGTGCAAAGATTTCCGGGGTTGGGATGATGGTGATGAATGTGGACACTCGCTCATTTAGCCAGGACACTGCCGGAAACGCAAGGCCAGATGTAGGCCTGCGGTTGGGGACCCTTTGCGCAGATGTGCCAATTGTGTCCGTCTGGGCTACCCGTGCGTCGTGGTCAAAGTGGAGGTCATGGAAGCGCTTGATATATTGGGGGAAGACGGCACCCCTGAGAACATTCTACGTGTCCAGAGGTTGATTGGTACGTGGAGCTATAGTTCACTATAGTGACAGCAACAGCACTTGGGTCCTAATCACTGATCTCGCAGGTCATGTCAAAACTGGGACGCCCGCAGAATCATGTCAACAGACGGGTGAATCGAGCACTTCATGGACACCAACGCTGCAGCAACCTACTTATAACGACCCTGCTACTACTCCTTCACCCTGGCCGTGTCAAATGTCTACATGGCCACAGCCACCCGAAGTCTCTGCTTCTTTCGCCCATTCTTCATCATCTTCAGGGCTTCCACCACACTCTTGTCCGGTATCTGAACACTCCTGGCAACATATGCCAACAGTACCTCCGTCACAGGCTCTTCTCAATATGCCAGAGGCTCCAACGAGCGACATATTCTATGGTGTGGATAATCTGGCGCCAGTCAATCTGGACCACCAAAGTATGATTCGTCCTCCAACAGATGTATCTGCTACGAACATGTCAAGCTGGCAATCCATGTGTACACCACTGTCCAACGATCAGGCACTCCCTGCAATGCATGCAACATGGGGGACCACTGCTCGAAAACAATATTCCGGATTCAGATGAGACCAAGGACACCTCACAAGAAAACGACGTTCAAGATTCGGTTCCTAGGGTCAGAGATCGGACGACACAAATTTTCTCACTTTTCTTCAAACAATACAATATTCGAATTCCATGCGGTTCCAGGCACCGTTGAACATCAACTCATTTCGAAACAATGATCCAAGTCTACTCGTGCAAATCTGTCAGAGTGCAGCCTGCCGCAATCGCTCGTCATAGCGCAGGACACTTTCAAGCAAGACCTGCGCCCCGAGAGCACTGGATGAAACATTGTCAGCTTGTATACCTCGAAAGTAGGATGGAAGAAGTGTCAGACAAAACGTACCATTGCTCTGCCGAAGAATACTCGTCTGGGTGATGCGAGATGCCTCCCTTTGACGGGATAAACACCATGCTTGTTGGGCACCTGTCGCTTGTGTGCACGCTGTCGTGGCCAGCACCTGCCATCATCTCCCTGACATTCTCTTCTCCGGCTGCGTTCTGCGCTGCCTCGCGTACGCAGCTGATGCAATCGTCGTGGAACTGCACGGCCGGGCTGTTCCAGATGTCTTCGATCTCAACCGTGCACTTGTTCGCCTGGGCGATGCGAGCAAACTCTGCACAGGTATCGGCAATCATACGCTCACGCACTTCGGTCGAGTGGTGGCTCAAGTCGACGCTGAAGACAACTTTGTGTGGCACGGTAGCGGGGGATTGAGGCCACGAGTTGATGACTCCTACGGTCGATAGGCCGTTTGCAGCAAGAGCAATCTCCTCCACACGCGAGATCATACGGGCCGCGGATGTCAGAGCACAGGCCCGTCTGTCCATGGGGCAGGTGCCAGAATGCTGGTTTTTCCCGTGGACGGTGATGATGAGCCACCCCATACTCTGCACGCCCGTCACAACGCCTACCTTCTTGTCCTCATCCTCAAGGATTGGGCCTTGTTCGATGTGCAGCTCGAAATGGGCACTCAGTGGATTGGCCTCGTGCCACGCGGGGACACTTCCCAGGAAGCCGATGCGCTCGAGTTCACTCTTCAAGGTCATCGTCTTGGTCTTGTCCTCGGCCGCTGGCAGGGCGTGGGCAAAGTCCAGGGTGTACCGGCCAGACCAGACCCCCGACGAGACCATGCCGGTATTGAACCGAGCACCTTCCTCATTTGTCCAGTCGATGACGGCCAGCGGTGCGTATGTCTGGTGTCCGTTTTCCTCGAGCACTCGCAGGATCTCAATGCCAGCCTGGACGCCGAGAATCCCGTCATAGCGACCTCCGGCGGGCTGGGTGTCGAGGTGGCTCCCAATTCCGATGGGGGCAAGGGAAGTGGAGATGCCCGCGCGAGTCGCGAACAAGCTGCCCATTTGGTCGACCTTGACGGTGCATCCCAGCGACTCGGTGGTGGAGACGAACCACTGGCGCACGGCTTTGTCCGTATCGGTCAGGGCCAGTCGACGGATCCCGCCATCTGGAGTGGCACCCCATTGTGCAGTGTCATGGATGGTGTTCCAGAGCCTGTCTTTGTTCACGGTGTATGAGGGAATGGTAGTCGTAGTCGCTGTGCTCAGCGTGCGGATGTACGTTTGGCCGCAGGTAACGGATCTGGAGAGTGGTGAATACGAGCTTGACTCGACTCTGGATGCCAGCAGGCCCAGTGCTCTCGTTGTTCGTGTAGTGATCATTATGGGTGAGGTAACGAGAAGTATTTCAAACAGAGAAACGAGAAGAAATGTCCAAACCGCTCGCTGTATGAAATCGACCTTCTCACGATGTCAAAAGGATCACCCGACGACCGTCTATAAGTATATGTACTCGTTTGTATACCAGCACATCCTCCATGCCTTGCCTCCCCTCTTGGGTACGCGTTTTATGTGGATAAACTCCACCGTGAAGTTTCTTCCCTGAAGTGCCTCCCTCCAACTCCCTTGGGTGCAGAGGAACCCCCATTTACGAGGTATTTTGCCGCTATTATTACGCCTTGGATTCTCGTCACGGATTCCCGAGGGACAGACAGACCTTTGAGAGATGGATGCACGGCCGGCGGGCGTTGGAGTCACTGGGATTGAAAGAGGGGGGGTGGAATGCCACGTGGAAGGACACTCTTGTCTGTCTATCTGTGTGCGAACGAGTAAGAGGAGGGGAGAGGGGAGAGGCACCCTTGACATTTGCGTGTCCGTGATCTGCACTTGTTTGACCGACTCACTTACTCCATCACTCACTTGAACCGGAATACCTGCTGTATCTCGGTGCTAAGTCATACAAGGTAGAAGGTATGCGCCACACCTCCATAGCCGGCGGGACTGTATCTGTATCTCGTCTACGAGACTATGCCCATGTCGCCTGACCCCTCGCGCCCTACATACCGATCTGATCTGGTCTGGTCTGAATGACAGGGAGGGTACAGTATTACAAGCGTGACAAGCAAGTAGGTGATGTGATAGGCGTTAGACGATAGGATGAGTGAGTGCGCAGACTTGATCGGCTAAGGTGCGACCGACGGGACTGTATCTCTTGTTGAAACGCCACTGTTAACCTAAAAAACTACGAAGGGACTCTCCAGAGCCGGGACTGTATCTCTCAACCCTGCAGTGCCCTGCATTAGCGTCGGGACTGTATCTCTGCCGCGTGCGGAGAATGGCCTTGCCAATACCAAGACCACTACGAATACCGATATCTCGCGAGCACCAGTTAATATTACCCGTTGGAGAGACTAACTACCTAGGTAATTATTAACTAGTACCTGTACTGGCCTGACTGGGTACACGAGGGTCGCGAGGGTCTTGTCGTCCACATACATACTCGGTACATGGTAGGTAAATCGAACCTTGTACCGAACCGGCTTTTTGGGACATTGTAACGAGTGGGTAGCTAAGTACAAGGCTTTTTGAAAGGCAAAGGTCGGGTATCCGCCAACGATGGTTTCGGTTCGAGATGGGGGGGGTAGAAGGGCGAAACTAACTAAGCGTGGTGGGATTTGGACCCTGGGCAACAGTTTGGACAGAACATCATGCCCTTCCATGCCCTTGTCATGTCACGGTCAGGTCGCGTTCCTGGTGTGATCCACACGATTCATGCATGTATATAGATAGATAGTCCTGGACTCCAGACTCTTATGAAAGATCAACGTGAGGAACAAAGGATTGATTTGGTTCTTCTCTCCTTACCTTCCCATCTACCTCTATATATCTTCATCTCTATCTCAGAGAGGCGTACCATCCCCGGCTCGACGCTGTCCTTCACTCTTGATATATCCCCGACTCACCAGCCGCCAGTCGGCTCAGCCAACGGACGAGAACAGAGGAGAGATGGCCACCGACGTAGAAAAAATCGGCCGTGCCAATCCCACCGTCACCGACGACCCCGTCGTGACCAAGGAGAAACTCGCCCTCGACCAGGTCGATGGGGCCCTCGCGTTCCTGCGCAATGAAGCCGACGCCTCCATCGCCGAGCTGGACGAGAAGAAGCTCCTGCGCCGCATCGACCGGCTCATCATGCCCATGCTGTTTGGCGTGTATGTTCTCCAGTACATCGACAAGAGTCTGAGTATGTTTCCCCCCCAGAAAGATTTATTCTCTCGTTGCCAAGTAAAATAGAGACAAAAGGCCGCCGCCCCCCTCCCCCCCCTCCTCCAAAGTGTGTGTGCTATGGTATGGTTGTGCCTGTGCTGATATCTTTCCTTAAAAAAAAAAAACAGTCAACTACGCCAACGTCATGGGACTCAGCAAAGACACACACATGAGCCCCGCCGACTTCTCGTACCTGGCCACCTTCTTCTACGTCACCTTTGCCGTCTTCCAGCCCGTGCACGCCTACCTTATGCAAAAATTCCCGACGGCCAAGTACCTCGCCGTGAATGTGGTTTTGTGGGGCGTCACTCTGGCCGGTATGTCGATTCGCCGAGACAAAGGACATGAATTTTCCCGAGGGTCTGGAGGAGAGGCTGACTATTTATTTCTCGTAAACAGTGCACAGCGCGTGCCACAACTTTGGCGGTCTTATTGTGGTTCGCTTGCTCTTGGGCGTTTTCGAAGCGTCTAGCGCACCGTGCCTGATTTTGATCACGGGAATGTGGTACAAGGTATGGGGGATTCTCATATCATCAATCCTCCAGGAAGATACTAACCACCTGTTTATAGCGCGCGGAACAGCCCTTGAGAGTGGCCATCTGGTATCTGGGTGTCGGCGGCGGAACGATCGTCGGGGCTTTGGCTTCGTTTGGCTTCCAATTCTATCACGCCGACACGTTCAAGTCGTGGCAGGTCAGTTTCCCTTGTCTCTTCCTTTTTCTCGACCCCGGGGGACACTCTTGAAGGAACTAACAGGTTACGTCTCTTTAGATCATGTTTCTCGTCTTCGGCATCATCACCGTCGCATGGGGCATCGTCGTCTTCCTCGTCCTGCCCGACTCCCCCATGGCCTCACGCTTCACGCACGAGGAGAAAGTCCTGGCCATCGAACGACTGCGCGAGAACATGACGGGCATCGAGAACAAGACGTTCAAGAAGCCCCAATTCATTGAGACGGTCATGGATCCGCGCACGTTGCTCATCGCCGTCATCATCATCGCGGGCAACGTCCCCACGGGCGCGTGCGGCACGTACTCGTCGACCCTGATCAAGGGGTTCGGGTACACGTCCAAGGAATCTGCTTTGCTGAATATTCCCAGTGGAGCCATTTCCATGATTGCGGTGCTGTCGGCGTCGTGGTATGCGGGTAGATTCAACAATCGGGGTTATGGCATCGTCGCGCTCCTATTGCCCGGTGTCCTGGGTGGTGGGTTGATGGCGTTTCTGCCCAAGAGCGACAAGGCCGGGAAACTGGCGGGCATTTACCTGACTCAGATCTTTGGACCTAGTGAGTTTCTTTTCCCTTCCTCCAGAGAACCCTCCATTGTTACCTAAAAACACCCCCTACTCACCACGCTTTAAAACCAACACAGACCTCTCAATGATGTACTCCTGGGCCGCGGCCAACTACGCGGGCCACACCAAGAAAATCACCATCAACGCCATCATCCTCTTCGCCTACGGCGCCTCCAACATCATCGGCCCCCTCACCTTCACCGGCTACACCGCCCCGGAATACATCCCGGCCAAGGTCGCCATCATGGCCTGTCTGTCGCTCGCCATCGTGACCGCCTTGATCCTCCGGTTCTGGTACGCGTGGGAGAATAAGCGCCGCGACCGCCTCGCCGCCGCTGAGGGATACGTGCACGTCCCCGACACCGAGTTTATGGATTTGACGGATCGGCAGAATCTCGAGTTTCGGTATGCTCTGTAGGAGCTTTGTGTCTGGAGCTCTGGGGGATTTTGGTATGTGAGTGATGTGGATGTTTGTATGTATGTTTGGACGTATGGAGCCTTACCAGCAGGCCCTGAACGCAGGGGAGGTATATTGATAGTTCTCGACGTATGTGAGATGCTCACTAGTATTCGTACAAAGACTATTATGTCCGGCATCAATCTCGTCCCAATTCAGGACGCCGCATGAGCACTCGTCTGGTCTTGGCAGGTTTGTTCATGATCCGCCGTATTGCCACAAACGGTTAGCGCTCTCATTCCTCCGACCCGCCAAATGGAGGGACCAAGCACCACAAGGGCCGCTGCGGCTGCGGTCAGCTCCCAATGCCTCCCGAAGTGCTTCAGATTTGTTCCAGCCTGGCAAATCTGAAGAAGCCTCTCGAGACTGCAGGCTCAGTCAATTCCAGTTTTTCTCCGGAACATCCAGTGATTCATTCTCCAGGTTTCCTCACCGTCTAAAACCTATGGCAGGCCGTTTTGTACGCTCCTCCAAATATCGGCACGTGTTCGGCCGCCCGACTCGCAAGGTGCGACTTTCACACTCACTTCTCAACTGGGGAGGAATTCCAGGCTAAGAGCTGCAAAAGGAACAATGCTATGACAATGTGAGGGTATCCAAGAACGCTTGGGACACAAACTTGATCAAGGTACGCAGCGACCGCAAGCTGCAGTCGAACCCCGAAGCTCACAATTCCCAAGGCCAACCCCGAATACCTCGCCCTCAACTGGGACAGCAGCGGCGGCGGTGCGTTTGCCGTCATCCCTACAAATGAGAAAGGCCGACTTCCCGAACGTATACCGCTCTTCCGAGGACATACCGCCGTGGTCTTGGACACAGATTGGTGGGTTGGATGTCAAAAAGAAGAAGTGAAGCAAAGGCGCCAGGCTTACATGTGAAGGAACCCTTTCAATGACTCGTTGATCGCTTCGGGGTCAGATGACGGAAAGGTGGCTATACGTAACTCTGCAAACGGGAAATTTGCTGACCTGCGCAGGTCTTCTTATGGAGAGTCCCAGACGACTTCACACTGCATCTCGACATTCCCGCCGATGAGGTCCAAGACATTGCCCCAGTAGGCAAACTCAGTGGCCACCCAAAGTACGCAGATTTGGTCTATCATCCTCTGGAGCACATGAACTGATTTCCGTCCCAGGAAAGTGGGACACGTACTTTTCAATCCTGCCGCCGAAAATGTCCTGGCGTCTGCAGCTGGAGATTTCACGGTCAAGATATGGGATATTGAGTCGGGCTCTTCCAAGCTGTCGCTCAAGGTTGGCGAGGTGATCCAGTCCTTGTCATGGAGTGCAAACGGCTCCCTCTTGGTGACGACTTCCCGAGACAAAAAGTTGAGAATATGGGACACCAGACAAGAAAAGCCTGTCCATGAAGGCCCGGGCCACGCGGGTGCCAAAAACAGTCGCGCCGTGTGGATGGGCGAGCACGACCGCATCGCTACAACCGGCTTCTCCAGAATGAGTGACCGTCAACTGGCGCTTTGGGACGTCCGAAACGCACAAGAACCCATTGACGGGTTCCAGATGCTCGACTCGATATCGGGCGTCTGCATGCCCTTCTGGGACGAAGGCACCCAGTGTCTCTTCCTCGCAGGCAGAGGCGACGGCAACATCCGTTACTACGAATATGAGCACGACAAGTTCGAATATCTGTCCGAGTACAAGTCGTCCGATCCCCAACGTGGCGTTGCGTTCATCCCCAAGAGGGGAGTCAACCTGCACGAGAACGAGGTCGCTCGGGCGTACAAGACTGTGAATGACAATTACATTGAGCCTATTTCATTCATTGTGCCTCGGAGAGCAGAGACGTTTCAAGAGGACATCTACCCCCCTACCGTCGGATTGAAACCCGCGATGAGCAGCAAGGAGTGGCTTGACGGTGCCGAGGGATTGCCACCGAAGATCTCCATGGAAAGTCTATATGAGGGTACCGGCATCAAGGAAGTCGCATCCGATGAGGCGAAACCGGCCAAAAAGGCACCAGAACCTGTTAAAGCTGCTGAACCGAAGAAAGCCGCCCACGAGCCTACCCCAGAACCCGTTCCAACGACGATCCGATCTCCCCCACCGTCCATGAAGGAACAAGGTGCCACGATGATGGGTGCTGCGGACAAATTCAAAGACACCGAACCTGCAGAAGGAGGAGATGACGAGTCGGATTTCGAGGAGGTCCAGAAGCCCGTGGAACGGACAACTGCGACCAAGCCCGTCGTCTCTGAGGAGAAAAAACCGCAATCTCCCACTCCGGCCGCGAGTAAAGTGTGGGAAGACGTTGAGGATCTCGAGCCAGCTCCAAAACACAAGGTCGGCGACTTATGATCCCCACACGCGTATTATAAGCTAACATGGGAAACAGATGACGGAGACGGAAATGACAGACGAGCAGACGGTCGAAGCGGGAGAGGCTTCGAACGTGGCCGAAGCATCGCCAGCGTCAGATTCCATAGAGCGAGAGATTAAGAACATGAAGGCCCTGATCGCCCAGCAGTCACGGCAGCTGAGCAGCCTGACCAAGACGGTGACGGAACTTGTCGCCGAGGTCAAGGCATTGAAAGGGTCTTAGAAAGCTCTGGGGTTGGATACCATCGTTAGTTGACATTTTAGCGAGTCGAGTCAGAGAGAAAGAGAAGAAAAAAAGCCAATCTTGCCACCCCCAAAAGCTACTTTGTGCCTTTTTGGTCGTGCGCGTCCTTTGTTTACTCGTGACTAGTGTGTTAGTCGTGCGCGGTGGTGTCGAAAGAATACTGACTTACTGATCGTGGCTTGAGAACGGCCCGACAAAGGCGATCTCATCGGACTTCCCGGTCTGGAAGGGCTTTGATGGAACAAGGAGAGGCCATTACCCGATTCGAGGAAAGAGACTAAACGTGCAACGGTCTACAGGCTTCTCTTAGGCCACGAACTAACCGCAGTCCCATCTCTAATGCCGGTCTTTTTCGAGCGTGACCTCTGTTTTGTGGTATACATGCAAGATCCAAGCCTGGAATATAGATAGATAACGGGGAAGGGTGGAGTTGGAGAGCATACGAGGGCCTTCTGGTTGGACACGTCGTTCTACATATTTGGATGGCCACCTTCCTCTCTCATACGTGAGGCATGAAATTTGGCCAGTTGATGTCCTGGTACACGGACGCAGGCAGTGCTCGGAGGCTGATCAGTGACTCGGCCAGCACAATGGCTCTGGCAGCGATGTATGCGAAGACGAACGGGCCGTGCAGCAGCATTTTGATCCAGGGCGGTAACATATTCGCCAGCTCCGGGATGCTGGTCGCCTCGGCGTTGAAAAAGTACCGACCCAGAGGACGCGTGTTGAAGGCCCCGATCGGCACGGCGAGGATGTAGAGCAGGATCAGGCCAAAGTCTGTGCAACTGGCCACGAGCCAGAGATAGAACTCGGTCCGCGAGGGGAATGCTGCCAGCCAGGCGAAACCGATGTACAGCCCATAGTACACGAGCTGGAATAACAGCGTGTAGATTGTCACTCCGTTGGTGAGGCCGTCAGGTGGGAGGGTAATGCTGTTGGGCATGGTTTGTGCACGCTTTTGTTTGGCGTGTTGGTCGTAGAAGAAGACGACTGAAAAGCCATACCAGAATGGAATCGTTAGACTCTTCGGGTCGGGTATAGGCTTGACGAAGTCGAGGGGAGTCCGCGAATAAGACTCGACGCTGGAAGAGGATTCTGCACCCGCAGCGCCGCTAATTGGAGCGTTGATGGCGGCAGCGTTGGCGATAGTGACTTTTGGCATCGTCTTGGAAGCCGCAGCGGAGCTAGGCCGCTCGCAAAGCTGATTGATGTTGGCGTCAACTGGCACGACGCGCTGTGATTGAGGGTCTAGCGGCTTATAGTACCAGAAGGTGAAGGTGTGTAATGTGCAGATGATGAATGCTAGAGTTGTGACTTCGAGTGTCGAATATCCCAGGCCCGTAACACCACGAGCAATGAAAGAAAAGCAAAACCAAGTCATTTGAATGAGTGTCACTAGCCGCGCGAGCCCGTCCGCTTTGTTCAGGGCTTCAATATCCAATGCAGAAATCTCCGGCAAGACCAGACTTTTATGTTCAACGAGGTAAGCCAGTTGTTGGCTGTCAACCGGGAAGGCTGGATAGTCGCGCGGAGCGATCAAGATGCCGCCCATATCTGCGTAGAATCCGTGGCGTGTAGTCCATTCCGGATGTCCGAGTCTGTGGAAGATTCTGACCGACTGGTGTGCAGACAGCCACTGTTCCATGGCCATAGCCACTAGAACTTCAGGGAAGAATATGGTGTACAGTTGCCAACGGAATTTATACAGAAGAGACCGCCACCCGCGGCGGCTTGACGACGACGGTATATTCAGGCAGAGACATGTCCAGGTGCAAAGCCATGTGGTGGCAAGGCTGCCGTACAGTATGTCACTTGTCCCTCGTACGTCAGGCGTCGATACCCATCCGTGAACGAGATCCTTTGCTCGAGATGGGAGCATTCGGCAGGTTTGTCTCGAATTGAAGGTGCAATCTGAGCAATACTGATTACAATCCGGCTGTGGTGGCAGCAGAAGTAGCAAGCCAGTCACGATAGCAGGAGCGCAGCCTTGTGAGCTCTTTTCAGGCTGCTGATCTGCACAATCGAGGTCGTGGTGAGGCCGCTCCCTGGGTTGCAGAAATCTACTCTGCAACGTCAATATAGCTATCCGAGGCCTTCAATATCAAGCTCTCAATCTTATTTCAATATACGCAGCTCACAAAGAAGCAGCCAGGACCATTCTTCTGTGAGATTTGGCAGTCTGTTGACTCTTCGAAGGGCATCTCGTGGGCCTCCTTGCCACGGGCAATGACAACAACCAGAAGTCGCTTGACACGTTTCCGGGCTTAGACGCAACATACCTCTGAAATAAAGCGAACAATGTATGAGCCCTGGATAGGATGCATGGTCTGATGGTCGAAAAGATGTGTATTGGCTGTCCACACTTTTGGCCCCCTCTTCTCCCATGTTCGAACCAGGATGGATGCCTATTACAGGGCACGGTGTCTCGGCGGATGGACGCAACCATGACTAACAACTCCACTGTCGCCGGTCTGAAAACCGAGAGGACTTCTGGGCCATGCCTAGAACGTGAGGCAAACTTCGACAAGCGAGCATGCGACGATGCCGAAACAGGAAGCTCGGGGCCAACATTAATGGTGTTACACCACTGATCGGGATCAGATGTTGCGCGTCGTGTTTGACGGGGAGGTAAGCTGGAGTGACAGTCAGGCACCCAGTATCGGCGACTGTTCTCTTGACAAGCACGGAGGCAGAGTGGATAGATAGGAGTAGTGATCATAGTTCGAGGTACGCAGCAATAACTCGGCGAGTCTAAGAGGAATGACTGCGAGGCTTGAATGCCAAGGCCACAAGGCTGCTTGGGCTCTCTCCCTTTCCCGCCATTTCACTTCCTCCCTCAAAAGGCTTCACCTTTTCTTCCTTGTTCATCACACGATTGTTGCCAATGAAGCTATCTCTCGAGTGGCTTTTGAGCTCTATGGGATGACTTACTCTTCCCGCTCTCCGACCTTTGCCGTTACCGAGCTCTGAGGTCCCCTATGGCCCGGGGAAATGCCTTCCCACGATGACCACGTCGCCCAAATATCCAGCGCCGTAAGAGTCTTCTTTGACAATGGCCAACCGTTCCGCATCTTCCATGGATCCACAAACAGCACTCGTCCTGCCGACCACCGACGTATTGTCGACATCAGCTGCTTATCCAACGTGCTAAAGGTCGACCCTTCGTCGAGAACGGCGCTCGTGGAGCCTAACGTCGCTATGGACAAGCTTGTGCAGGCAACCTTACCTCATGGCTTGGTACCTCCAGTCGTCATGGAGTTCCCAGGTATCACGGTAGGAGGAGGATTTGCTGGGTCCGCAGGAGAGAGTAGCTCTTTCAGATACGGTTACTTTGATCAGACCGTCAGCTCCATTGAGGTGGTCCTTGCAGATGGCCAGATAATCACAGCCTCATCAATTGAGAATACCGACTTATTCAAAGGTGCGGCTGGGTCGTTGGGGACGCTAGGTGTTATTACCAAGCTCGAACTGCAGCTGATTCCTGCCCGTCACTTCGTCAAGTTGGTCTATCGGCCATATTCCACCATTCATGAGACTATCAAGGCGTTGAAGCAAGAGACAGAGAATCCCGAAAATGACTACGTGGACGGCATCATCTTCTCCAGAGTTCATGGTGTCGTGATGACCGGCCAACTGACAAATGAGATCCCAAACACAGCGAAACCCAACCACTTCAGCGGTCCATGGGACCCGTGGTTCTACCTCCATGTTAAGAGCAAGACAATGCACAACCCTTCTACGGACTATATCCCTCTCTTCGAGTACTTGTTTCGCTATGATCGGGGTGGTTTTTGGGTGGGTAGGCAAGCATTCCGCTATTTCAATTTTATCCCGTTCAATCGATACACCAGGTGGTTTGTGAACGACTTCATGCACACAAGGATGATGTACCGAATCCTGCACGCGAGCCACATGTCCTCCAGCTTCATGATTCAGGACCTTTCGTTACCTTACGACACGGTCGAAGAGTTTATTGATGACACTTCCAAAAGTCTGGGGGTCTGGCCACTTTGGCTCTATCCTTTACGAGCCACGGACCCACCAACGTTCCACCCCAGTCATGTCGCAGACAGAAAGCCTCAGCCAATGCTAAATATCGGTCTTTGGGGACCGGCACCAATGAATGAATCTTTTGTGCAGCAGAATCGGCAATTGGAGCGGCGTCTAACTGAGCTGGGCGGCCGCAAAGTCCTGTATTCACACACGTACTACCCAGAGGAGGAGTTCTGGGCACTATATGATCGCAAATGGTACGATGAGCTGAGGAAAAAGTATTCGGCCACAAACTTGCCAACCGTCTGGGAGAAAGTCAAAGTGGACGAACCGCACATGATGCAAAATCAATCATGGCTTCAACGCCTTGCCTTTCAATGGCCATTTGCAGGAATTATCGGAATTCGGCATGCCATTCAGAGCCAAGATTATTTAATCCACAGGCAACCGAGCTGGATATATTGACAGGCGCATGGATCCACGCACGCATTGGACTACGCGAAATGACTACTCAGGGGAGCCTGATATAGACTTGCGCAGAATCTGGGCACACCACACGCAAAACCGCCTGTCACTGCCACGTGGACTTTTGGCTTTACTGACCACGTCAACAGCTCGTCTAATTCGCCAAATGCTCGGTTCGACTGAGACGTGAGGAGAAGTTTGCGATAAACAGCTGCATTCGGTCATCTCCAACACGGATTGCGTGATCACTGAATCGAGGGAACCATCGTTGATCCTATCAACTGGTTACTATTTACTTTCCCCTCTCTTTCTCTCAAACTCATCGTTATCCTCAATTCTACACTCACGGTAAGTCTCTGTTCAGGTAATAAGTGTCGGTCGCCCAGATCTATTTCCCTTCGACACCAATTGATACAAGGAGATAAGGCTGTACCTGGCTGAAATCATGGGCTCCCTTGGCGAGAGTTATTCGAACGGTCATTCGACCGCGTACAGCAACGGCGATGGGCAGGGTCCCCGAAAGCCGCTCAAACAGAGTGGATTGCTGAACGAGAAATTTGAATCGGAAGACCTGACGCCAATTATTGGTCGAGAGTTCCTGAACGTCAACATTGTGGATGACTTGATTCAGTCCGCGGACGCGGATACACTCTTGAGAGATCTTGCCATCACAAGTATGAACTCCCTGTTTGAATTTCAAAGCACGAGAGTTCACCCATAGCCTCGCGATCCCTTGTAACAGCGTGATATTAACCATACTTTGGGATTAGTCAGCGAGCGTGGAGTCGTCTTCTTCCGCAAACAGGACAACTTGACGGACGATCTGCAAAAGAAGTTCTGCCAACGCCTCGGAGAGTTGACCGGCAAGCCATCTTCTTCGACGCTCCACATCCATCCCGTCCTCAACGGAACCAGCGAGTTCGGACATGATTTGGAGATCAGCAACATCTCATCTATATCCCGCAAGAAACTCTTCGATGCTGGCGATATCAAGAACAAACGCAAGTACGACGCTGCCCAATGGCATAGCGACATCCAATTCGAGCCAGCGCCCGCGGACTATACGAGTTTGAGACTAACCCAGCTGCCCAAGACGGGCGGGGATACCCTCTGGGCCAGTGGTTACGAGATATACGATCGCATGAGCCGACCGTGGCAAAAATTCCTCGAAGGGCTGACGGCAAAATTTGTCGGGGACGGGTTCATCAGAGCCGAGCAGCAAGGGAGGGCGACGTTGTATGATAAACCGCGAGGATCGCCGTTGAACGTGGGCAAGCATTTGAGCGCTGAGCATCCTGTGGTGAGGACAAATCCGGTCACCGGGTGGAAGAGCGTTTATGCGATCGGGACGTTTCCCAAGTCGTTCAGCGACCTGAATGCCGAGGAGACGGAGGAGCTGTCCAAGAAATTGCATGGGATGATCGTGAACAACCACGACCTGCAAGTGAGATTCAAGTGGAGGAACGAAAATGACATTGGTAAGTTTGTGCCAGCTCCTCTCAAGTATTGCTGTGAGGGTGCAGGACGCTAATCCATTTTCTGCGACCACAGCGATCTGGGATAACCGAAGCGTCTTCCACTGCGCCACGTTTGATTACGATGGCCTAGGCGAGCGTTTTGGACACCGTGCTGTGGGCATCGGCGAGGCTCCGTACCTGGATCCGAATAGTCAGTCGAGGACCGAGGCTCTTGCCTCATTGTAGTACGGACCGCAGACGGTGGAGAATTTTGGGCTGGAATAGCCGTGACAAAAGCACAAATACTATACACTACATATAGATCGCCAGATGCCGAAGACGGAGATGTGGAAGGCATCGACATGCGAGCGATTAAAAAGTACATCGACTGCTACTAGCAACAGCAACCTCAACCACAACCACAAACTCTGACCGAACCGCACTCAGCCGCATTGTCCTAGATCCGCCATGCGATACATATCATGGAGATAGCGACCATACCAATCTTTACTGTCCAGAATTGACCTCACCTCGAAGAACGGTGATCTGAGAGTTTTGCCCTGCCGAGAACAAATAACAAGTAAGTTCCGCGGAGGCCCGGCTTGTTGGCTTGGCCACTCAGAGTTCTTACAGCTTTGGGGTCGTCCCGTGCGGCTGGTGCTACAAGCACTCTCGTATACCTTGTATGGAGGTCTTACACGTGGCGGAGTAGTGCTTTACCACCCCTTCCCAGGCTCGTGTATTGCAGGGAGGGGACTGGATCCGGTTCCCACTGACACTGACACATGGTTCTCAAGGTCGCATTTGGGTGCTGTAGCCGAGGTGCATGGACTTGGCGACATCTCTCGTCTCACAGCTCCTCGAATCCCTCAAAAGAAGAAGCGATTAGGATCCCTGTCCTCTATGCTCGGTGCTCAGTACTCAGTAACCTGTAGAAAGAAGCCCGCCCGGGATCGTCAGGACTTTGCACCCGCACGCGGCGAATCAGTTGGCCGATGGCTATCTCTCTATCTATATTGCTGACTGGAATGCCAGAGCTCAGCAGTCTGTCTTGTCAGATGAGCCACCACCAATTCCTTCCTCTCTCTGGCTGTGTCGTGTTGATATTCCAGTTTGTGCATGATGGACACGAATCTGACCAGGAACTGCATTTGGGGGGAAAGGCTGCCACGCTCCTTGCCCGTTTCCGGCTTCTAGCCTGAAATGTATTAGCCCTAACCCCACTGCCGCTATCTTATTTATTGCTATTCGCTGCAGGGCAAAAGCTTGGGCTTCACGTCATCACAGACAATCACTGGGCACGCCGACTCGGTGGTTCTTGGTGGTGCGGGCAGATTTTTTCCCTCAACAAGTTCCCCATGGTTGCAGCCAACTTTCGCCAATTTGTTCCGACGCGTGCCGCTATCAGTGGTGTACAAGTCGATTCCTCTCTTCGTCACTGGTCCGATCGTGGTTTCCTCTCTCCATTGATAACAATGCCAGTTACAACCAAGCAGAGGCCAGCGCCTCATCCCTCATCTCATCAGGCCTTGCTGAGGCGATCCAACGGCCGAATGCGCCCACCACACGTCACTGGCTGGTGTTCAAGCCTTGCGATAAGCATTCTCAAGCTTCGCGCGCAATCCTAATCCTGATGCGTGGGCTATGGCATCACCCGCAGCCCGAGCTGGCTCCACAAATGCGAAATCCACTTTGTGCTCTTTTTCATATTTTATCAATGTCCTTCCTCAGGATGTTTTCGCTCTGTCATTCCGTCTCGCCGTCTCTGTTAGGACGCCGATTTGGCCTGCTCCTTGTCCACTGGAGTCACTGCTCACAAAGGGTGAGTCTGGCTCCTGCGAACCCGTTGTCCCAGCCTTACATACGGCACCTTGAAATATGACGGGTGATACGACCTCCCCGCCGGAGCTGTCTCCCGACATGCTCGAAAAGAAGGAAAGTGTACCGCGAAATGCCGACCTCGAGGCGAGCATCGACCAAGATGATCCTCTTGCTCTTCTGTCCAAGATTGAGACCAACTCGGATGCGCATCCGATCCGATGGCCGTGGTGGAAGAAATGGTCCATCATCTCTGTGTACTGCCTTCTCCAGATCTTTGTCACCCTGACATCGACGACGTACGTCTCGGTCGAGTTTTTGATCATGGAGAAGTGGACCAGCTCCACGCAGGTCGCCACGCTCGGCCAGAGTATGTTCATCGTCGGCACCGCCGTGGGACCTGCTTTCCTTGGCCCCTTGTCCGACATTGGAGGGAGGAAATGGGTATACGTGGGCGCAACCCTTTTCTATGCGATTCTCAACATCGGCACCGCCCTGGCCGACAACTTTCCCATGTTGGTCATCTTCTGCTTCCTCATCGGATGCGCGGGCTCTGTTGCGTTGTGTAACGTTGCGGGCACCATTGCCGATCTCTTCGGCGACCATGATGGTGCGGCGCAACCCATGGCTCTTTTCGTCCTCTCTGCCAACTTTGGACCAAGCCTGGGTTCTCCGATAGGAGAGTGGATTGCAGAAAACGAGAGCCTGGGATGGCGCTGGATATTCTACATCAATATCATCATTGGCGGCGCATTTGCCGTTCTGCTCTGCTTCATTCCTGAGACTTTACCCCGACTCGTCATCGCCAGAGCGGTCAAGCGACGAGGTAGTGTCGATCAAAATGCCGTGGATATTGCGCTCGGGTCAAGCAGGCTGTCCGTCGTGCGGGAGCTGAAGTTTGTGGCGACAATGGCACTAAGGATCATGTTCACCGAGCCGATTGTGATATCTCTCGGATTGTGAGTATCTCCCATGTTTCAGAGATATTACCGACTGACTCGTGGGCTCAGATATAATGGATTTGCCTACGGTTTGCTGTTCCTCTACCTCGATGGCGTCTTCGATGTGTTTGTCTTCAACAACGGCCTAAGTTATATCGGAGCTTCGTTGACCTATCTCAACTTTTGTGTTGGTACGTGATTGCTTTTGAGAATTTGTGTACTGTTTCTAAGCGAGAAATAGGGGTCACGGTGACGTTCATTTTCGTGCCGGTCCAAACCTACCTCTTTCGCCGCGACAGGTTGAAGCACGGGCGCCATCGGCCCGAAGCCCGTTTCCTCACCTCTCTGGTGACTGTGTGGCTGTTTCCAATCAGTCTGTTCTGGTTTGCTTGGACATGCGATGGTGAGTATTCAATGCCTCATTGTAGCGCATAATGTTTTGGCCCTAATCCGTGGTTAGGCTCCGTGTCATTCTGGTCTCCTGTCGTGGCAGGCGGCGTGCTCGGCTTTTGTGACCCGCTTCTTTGGTTGGCAATGCTTAACTACATCACGGATTCGTACCCGAACGTGGCTGCCAGCGCCATTGCTGCTTTCCTCATCCCAAGTTTTCTCATTGCGGCAGGTTGCGCCCACGCTGGTGTTGCCATGTTTGAAAACATGGACATCAGATGGGCGTTCTCGACACTGGGATTTATCTCCATCGGTTTGGTTGTGCTGGTATATGTTCTTTTCTTCTTTGGGCCGACATTGAGACGTTGGAGTCCGCTGGCCAGAACGTTTTGAATAGACATCAAAGGCGAATCGCTTCGAAAAACGACAGGAGGAACAAGATTAGGAAACTGGTCAAGGGTCAACGACAAAGCATGCAGATTACACAGTACACAATCTCGTCATATGTTGATGGAGATTTTCCACTAATACAGTCAGCTTTGGACTAAATCTGACCATATGATGAAGCAGAAAATGTTGTTTCCTTATCGCTAAATCATGAAAGGTCGCAGTTACATCACGAGCCTTGGTTTGGGGCAACCGAAAGCCGAGACCAAGTGGTCAGATACTCACAGCAGTAGGAGCTCTTGCGTCAAATTCATGACAACGGGGTTTTTGTGATCTACTCAAGGGGGCCAATGGGAGGAGACTGATGGCGATCTGATATGAATCGCTAGCGTGACCCATTTGCATTTTCCTTCTGTCAATGGGTCTAGACATGTACTCTGGGTACGGAAAAGTATGGGGTCGAGGGGTTTCCGACTGCGGACCACGCTTGTTTTTCTTCTTGAGAATCGGTCCTCGTGGCAGGACTTCTTACCCGGCGGTCGGTGTAAGGGGCAGAAAACGTCTAACATCTGAAAAGACTGCAAGTACCGAGTACTCCAGCTGGTTGAAAATATCATGAACAGAAGCAAGCATGGTCTGCCCAGCCAGAAAAGCGAGAGAGAGAAAAGAATCCCGAGTGAAGAGCCGCAGGCATTGGTCAAGTTCGGTTGATGCCAAGCATTTTATCGAGACGGTCGGTGCTCTCCGAGCCAATCAGCGTGTCTTGATAACGCGCAGCCTCTCACAGGCGTGTCCCGACGCAGCCTGCGCACTACGATACCCGGTGTTCGGAGAAAGTTCTTCTTGGTTGTGCCCCTTGTCCAGGGCCTTTCACCAATGCGAGGACCCTGTCGCAGCTGCTAAGGGTCCAGAGAGGTCCTAATCAGTGCCTAGCCTTTATTGCTACTGATTGCTCGTCGCCGCTGGCCGTCATGATGGGGCATCGATATTATCAGACTCTTTCGCCAATCTGGCCATCGTGATATGGCTGCCCACAGAACCAATCTGGCCGAACGCCCAGTTTGGATCAGCGCCTGATCAACAAGAATTGACTTTGCAGCTCTTGAACGGAGGTGGCCATGGCCCGGCGAGTCAGAATCTTCTCTTGCTCGAGCATTATCTGTATAAAGAGAGGACTGGGACGTCACTCTGGGGGTGGTGAAAAAGATGTCTACACAACTGAACCTCAACTGAATTGAGCACGCGACCACCAACAAACTGCTCACCCCCCCAACACAACCCCCGCCCTCAGCGACCTATTCCTCAAGTCGAGCCCACCAACCCAAGTCATTGTTCACAATGGGCGCAGGCGACCGCATTGGGCCAGACATGGGCCCCAAAAAGACTCTTGCCGACCGTATGAACAGCCTCCGCAAGACCTTCTTCACCAAACATGGCCTGATTGGCGAATATGACTATGCATTTCTTTTCCGACCCAACATCCCGTTTCTCAAGAAGCCCCGCCGGGCAGCGCCCTTTTTCGGCCTCCATGATTCCATGCCAATTGTTCTGGCTTTCCTACTGGGCTTCCAGCATGCTCTGGCCATGTTGGCGGGTATAATGACGCCACCCATCATTCTGTCCGGCCAAGGAGGTGTCAATTTGCCAGCCGACTACCAACAATATCTCGTCAGCACCTCTCTGATAGTGTGTGGTATCCTCTCCTCTATT